TATTTTCAATTAAGTCTGATCTAATTATTATCGTTTGATCAAGGAAGGTGGCTTGCTGTGTTAGGACAGCAGCAGGCCTCACTTTTGTGTTCCGCTATGTTTTTGGCAATCTTTCCAGCCTTCCGCCTCCTCTAGATTTATTTCCAAATCTCAGGAGCTATTTTTGAGGAAGCACAACGCACAGAAGCCGGAGAAGGGGCGTGTAGCCGCGGCTCTCGGGAAGTGCGTATCGGAAAATTTAAGACTTAAGAGAAAAACGCACTACAAAGTGACGCCTTATTGAACAGTGTTCAGACCCAGAGTGGAAAGGATCTAGAAGATTCAGCTGAGCCTGCTGGCCCTCGTGCTCATCATCTGAAACTGAGTGCACATGCAAACAAGCACACGTTCTCAAAATGCTCAGGACGGACGTATTCCTTTGCGCTTGGCCAGGCGGAAGCCTGCGAGGTGTCCTTAGGTCTATGGCGGGGCTGCATCAAGAGGCACACAGGCAACAATATAGCATCTGCCGTGATGCCTGGGCCTGTTCCCGGGGCCGCGGAGCACAGCACTCCCGGACACGGTCTCACCCTCCCACCAGAGGAAACACTAACTCAGTACCTGCAGACCTTCTGGAAAATTCTACTTACAGACACAGGTGCAAGCAGCTACTTCCTGCAAGGGCAAACTTAGCAAAATCCCAATTCTCAGGCTCGACTGGGTGAGGAACAATGTGAGTTTTTTCATATTATTTTAGGGCACGCTTCCATTTTTGAAGCAGGATAGATTTTTTTGCTGTTTGGAGAGTTGCAAACTTAAGCGTAAAGCAAAGAAGAGCCTTTCTAAGGGACGTGGTTGACAGAAAGGGGCAATTTCAGGTGCTCGTGGTGGGGGTCACAGACCTTGGGAGAAGCGGTGTCGTCTGCCTGAACTGGAGAACGCTTCGCTCACTAGCGAGTGTGCCGACGACCAAAGATTAAACTGCCTTGGGAAAAGGTCCCCTCATTCAAAGCCCAGGAGACGAGGCCACCACTGCCATGGGTCCTCTGTGAGCGCCTGGCTCTTCCTCACCCAGAGGCGGGAAGTTAGGCCGCATTTGGGCCATGGGCCCCTCAGCCTGAGCGGAGGGAGCCCCCCAACAGCAGCGGCCACAGCACACCTAATGTCACCTAGTGCCACACCCTGATTACCTCCCGAAAGTGGGACGTGCACCCAGCGCTGGGTCCAGGCCACCCCACGCCCAAACGCGTGCTTGTCTCTGGCTCCAAAGGCCTCCAAGTAACAAGGAACCCGGGGTGTTGTGAAAACGACCATCAGAAGAGGTTGTGGAGGATTCCGGGGTCTGTGCCCACGCGTGGGGGCGGGAGCGCGGGCCGGTGGGCTACAGAACGGACTGCTCCAAGGTGATCAAAGCCTCGGAGAAATGGATGCGACACTCAAAGGGGCTCAGAGGGAAAGAGGAGGTTCCCGCACAGCAGTGCCCAGAGCAGGACGCCCACGCGGGGAGGGCCCCCTGCCGCCGCCTCCCTCAGAGCGAACCTGGAGCGAGCAGGCGTGGCGAGTGCGTGCACACGCATTTACACCGTGTACACGCGATACACCAACGTGCCAATTTGGGGGAAGAAAGAATAAACGTAAAGAAATTACCTTTTCAGATAACAAAGCACAGACTTAATCCTGATATGCTATGCTTTCTACTAAAGCAACGGGGAAAAGTTTGGTGGCCATTAAAAAAATGACCTTTCAAAATGGATTTCAGTTACTCTGAAAGTTAATATACCGGATTCTTTCAGGTTTGAGGAAGTTCAAGTTTGACAGACGTGGTAAGACTGATGTCTTGGTAAGTGCTGAAGCGTCAGAGTCTATGAAGAAATATCTGGTTTTCCGATGGGTAAAGCAAACAAGGTCACCCGCACACGCACGTGCCCACTAAGCTCTAAGGTGCTGGCTCTGTGTGGGGACAGCTCCACGCTGAGGAAGGAAGGGGACGGTGAAACACGTCTGCATTAGGGTCTAATGATGCAAGCCGCTCACTGTTTGGAAACCGAGTTAAGAAAAGCGCGCTGATGATCCAGGAACACTCCCCGAACACACCGTGGCCCAAAGCCCCAGACCACGAGCGGTGAGGGCGCAGGGCTGTGCGGGGACCAGCCCCACCTGGGAGGGCAGCCAGCAGCAGGGGTGCGTCGCGAGGGCCCACGTGGGCCACGCTGCGCCGCGTCCCTGGGGACATCTGGGCCCTCCTCGCAGGCTCTCCAGGAAGAAGAAATCCCGGTGCAGAGGCCACCAGCGCCTCGGCTCCCCTCCTTCACTGCTGACCGAAGGCTCCCGGGTTCTGACGAGGAGTCTTCTTCCGTCTAAAGGGCCACTTCATATCCCGACGCTGATGGAACTAGGGCATGGCCACCCACCGCCCCTCGTTCCCGGGTCGGCTACTTCTAACCTCACGCACACCTTCTTTCGGGAAGTTTATAAAAATGATTATCTTCGTCGTCCCCAGGAGATAAGGCAGGATATCAAATCGCTCAAGTTTCCTCGTCCAGTGATGGGGTGCAGGGCAGGTTTATCCGAACTTCACTTCTCCTCTCGGGCCAGCAGCGTGCAGAAGGCCAGTGATGCAAAAATTAAGAAGCACCCAAGCAGCGCCTCCTAAAATTGTTTTCTGTTCGTGTTACTTTAGCCAACTCCTCAGAAGGACGTCTGAGTGCGGAGGGGGCTCTGGGGTAGCTCTAGAAAACGCATTTAGTGCGGACGCATTAATGAGCTAATACCTGCTTCACTGACAAACGTAAACACCCTCTCTTGGTAGCTACCCTTCTAAGAGCCGGTGACACATGAGTCAGTTAAACCCAGAGGTGAGAGTCGTGAAGCCCCTTCCCCGTGCGCCGAGTCCTGCCCCGCTAACGGCAAACCACAACGCTGTAGCCGCTCGAGCACCTGCATCGTCTCCCCAGTGAACAGGCCACGTTGGGGCAAATGCCCACATTTAATCAGAGAACTTCCCTAAACCGTGTACTTCAGTGACTTCAAAACCAAGCCCATCGGAAAATCTTTACAGTAATTTCATTTCCAAATTTCCCCTAGATCGTAGTTTTAAAGGAAAAGTTTTTTTTCCCTTTTTTCCTTTTTATTAATCTGGATTGAAGAAAAGCACACATTTCATTTATTGTCTGGATTACAGATTCTTATTAAACAAACCAGAGCTCATTATAAAATCAATATCAACTTAACCACCATGCCCCCAGGAGGAATAGCAAAAAGGTCACTCCAAGAAATTCAAACAATTTTCCTGCTGGAAGGGCAGGATTTTAATTACAGATACTATTAATTAGAGCTGTCACGGGCAAGATTTTCTTTCTGTTAATTATCAGAAACTCGGTTCTGAGTGTGCAATTTCAACCTGCATTTTTGCCAAACTTGGTCATTTCTGCATGCAAGCCCAACCTTTCCATTCTATCAATATTTTATATTTGAATTTCAAAGCGTATCAAAGGATGCCACGCTTTCTAAAAACCCAGGCCTGTGTGATCTCCTGTCTTTTGCACATGGAACAGAACTGGTGTGATAATTTATTTATGTCCTGGCACAGACACGGCCCACAAGCCCCGACATCCTACACTGATGGTCTTGCTCAATAGAATTTCTGGATAAGTTCTTACTAGTTTATGTGACATTTTTTTCTAGGCTCCTTCTTCAAACGTGATTTTTCTTTTGCTTTGAAGCTGAGCCGTGCGCTGGGGCTGAAATGTCACCTCCCACACATTTGAAGTTGCCATTTCTTTATAAGAGAAGATCGCACTGACCAGCCTGTGACCTCCTCCAGAAAACCAGAGCGGTCCTTCTTCACTCAGGGGCAGCAGCAAGAATTTTGAAATAGGGGGTGGGGGAGGCTACCTCCCGGTCTCGTTTAAGCACACTGTTTTTATAAATTCCTCCCCGCGCCTTCCGCGGGCCAGCGTCAGGACGGCCCAAGGAGCAAAAACAGTCGGCTGAGGCCAGTCCCAGATGGCACCTTGCAGGACAGCTTGCGGGGGGGGGGGGAGGGTGGTTCTAGAAAGAGCTTGAGAGGCCCCCCACCCCGTATGACGGTCATGACAGGAGAGTAACAGTCAACGAATACACACGACTGTAAATATGACGTGCCGTGTACAAGACGGACGGGGTCCACAGCGCAATCACGTCACCCGAGAAAACAGAGAATCTAGTCCAGTGGCAAAGAATCTTCCACAAACACATATGATTGCATTTTTAAAACGATGATGGAACGTTTTACCTTCCCAAATAGGAAAACGTCCTCAGAGCTAAATGCTATTTTATGTTAAAAGGAATCCAGCACCCTGACCGGTGCGTACCGCGGGCCGCTGAACCCGAAGGTACGTTTTCGCTACAGGGCGTTACCGAGTACGAAGCGTAGGCTACGGAACGTCCAAATGTTCCGCGAATTCCCTGCCTTCCCAGGTGGTCTGAACCTGCCTTCCTGACATTCCCCTCGGCTTCGGACTTGTTTCCAGGTGTGTCCGGGACGGTTATGTGTCGCCAGCACGAGGCCGCCGCCCCGGCCCTCAAGGAGACGTCCTGGGTTTACTTCCCACTTATCTGCATTAGATTTCCCTTCATCCACGAAACAGCAGGGGCGGCAGCGGTCAGCCCGAAGGATCTCTCCACATGAGGCCCCGAGGAAGCCCACAACTTAAGAGGCGTCTTCAAAAACCCACACGGCCAATTTATCTTGCAACTTTGGCATTTTTTTTGCTAATAGTGGCCAAACTAAGGAAGATGTCAGGTGATATGTAATTCATGCTTTGTACTTTCCCCACGTTTCTAATGAGCAACCTGCTTTCACAGCTAACCGAGACCCGCCGAGAAGAGAGTAAGGTTAACACAAAGCACTAACACTGTGGTGAGAGCACTTCTGTGAATGCTAATGAGGAAAGGCCCAAACCACCGGGAAGGGAGCAGCGGGCGGGGAGGGGCCTCGGGCAGCTGTCCCATCCGATCTGCGCGGTGGCTGGAGCCCCTACCTGGTAGGCGGCCGTGGCGTCCGGGCCCGGGCGGTCCCCTGGTCCCGAGAGCTTGTCGTGCAGCCCGGAGCGGGAGGTGTGGCGCAGGCAGTAGATGACCCCGGAGGCCAGGAGCACCCCCACCATGGCCACGACGGACACCAGGGTGAGCACCACGAACGGGGTCGAGTCTTCCTGCTCCGCCCGGCGAGGCAGGAGCTTGAGTTTGCTTTTCTGCAGAACAGGAGAGAAGGAGCGGTTAGTGCCTAGCAAATTACGACCTCCTGGAAACTACCCTTTCCCAGCGGAACCTGAATGTGACAGCTCAGCACAGCGGGGGGGGGGGGGGGGGCGGGGGTTGGTTTAAGCAGGCACCGGAGGACCTTCCAGAACCCAACCCCCAAACAAGGAGGGAAGTTCTTTCTAACTCGCACGTGAGGGAGATGGTGGTGTTTTCAAAAGGAAACTCAGAGCATCACTATTTTTTCTTAAGGCCTCCGATTTTCAAACCATTAACAACGTGAAGTCTTTGGCCTGCATCCTTCCTCCAGGGAGTGTGAGGGACACCGTTTGTCCATAGCAGGCACCACAAATGTTCTGGGGAGGGGGCTGGAGCCCAGAGATGTCAAACAAGCCTACGGCGGGAGCACAGCACGGAAGGGGGCGGGGTCTCTCAAAGTTTCTCGGGCACCTTCCTGGGGACACCGCAGGGACACAGGCCCCGCGCCGACGCGCACCGCCCCCCCCCCCGTCAGGTCCGCGCTGTCGGGGTGCAGGCCTCGGGCGCACACCCAGCCCCCCCCCCGTCAGGTCCGCGCTGTCGGGGCGCAGGCCGCGGGCGCACACCCAGCCCCCCCCGTCAGGTCCGCGCTGTCGGGGCGCAGGCCTCGGCCCGGTTGCTACAAGATGAGAACAATTAGCAAACTCCTTCCACCACCTAATTTCGCGTGGTAACAAAATGGGTTTTTCCCCATGAATGCCCGGCCGGCCTGTTCATTATCTCTCTTCTATTAGAGATTTTCTGCTCGGCGCCGGCCGCCCACCTCCTCACTTCCTCCGACGCCGAGTGCACACGGGCCTCCGTGTCAGCCGCGCCGTTTTTATCCGTAATCATAAAGGCCACCAACGCAATTATCGCCGGTCTTGACTGGAAAAGCTGGTCATTAATTAGCCTCCTTTTGCCTTCGGTGCCGCGGATTAGCTGGTGCCGGGACTGAGTTAATGGAAACGCGGGTTAAATGAGAAAAGACGCCGAATTTTCTTGCCTGGATGCGCGGCTTCGAGAAGGTCGGCGAAGCTGGCAAACGGTGGGGAGGGCGGAGGGGGAGGGGCNCCCCCCCCGTCAGGTCCGCGCTGTCGGGGCGCAGGCCTCGGCCCGGTTGCTACAAGATGAGAACAATTAGCAAACTCCTTCCACCACCTAATTTCGCGTGGTAACAAAATGGGTTTTTCCCCATGAATGCCCGGCCGGCCTGTTCATTATCTCTCTTCTATTAGAGATTTTCTGCTCGGCGCCGGCCGCCCACCTCCTCACTTCCTCCGACGCCGAGTGCACACGGGCCTCCGTGTCAGCCGCGCCGTTTTTATCCGTAATCATAAAGGCCACCAACGCAATTATCGCCGGTCTTGACTGGAAAAGCTGGTCATTAATTAGCCTCCTTTTGCCTTCGGTGCCGCGGATTAGCTGGTGCCGGGACTGAGTTAATGGAAACGCGGGTTAAATGAGAAAAGACGCCGAATTTTCTTGCCTGGATGCGCGGCTTCGAGAAGGTCGGCGAAGCTGGCAAACGGTGGGGAGGGCGGAGGGGGAGGGGCGGGCGGGCGGGGGCGCAGGAGCCCGTGCGGCCGGTCCCCGCCCCCCCCCGCCCGGGCGCGGACCCCTCCCCGCCGCGTCCCGCTCGCCCCTCCCCCCGCGCCCGTCAGGCCGCCTCCGGAAGGTTCTCGCTCGGGAGCCACGGACCCACCCCCGCTGCCTCTGCACCCGGGTCCCCGCCCCGCGCGCGGCGAGAGCCACCGCCGCGTAGGTAAACCGGGGGGGCCCCGCCCGGCGCGGCGCCCCCGTCAGCGCCCCTGGGCGCCCGCGCGGCTCCCGGCCGGGGTCTCCGCCGCCCCGCGTCTGCGTCGCTCGGCCGCGGCGGCCTCCCCCTCGCGGCGGCCCCTCCGCCCCCCGAAAGACGCCGGCAGCACCTCGGCGGGGGCCGTTTCGGGGGGCCGCTCGCCCCCCCCGCGCCTCCTGCGGGGCCGCCTCGCCGGCAGCGGAGCAGGGACAACAAAGGCGGCGGCGCGGCCGAGGGAGGGGCGTCCGGCGCGCCCCCCCCCCGCCCGGCCGTCACCGCGCGTCCCCCAACCCCGCCCCCCGAGCAGGCGACCGTGGGCCCCGCGTCCCCGCGTCGTCCAAGCGCCCGCGCGGGGGAATCCCGCCCCGGCGTCGGGGGGACCCCTGCGCCCACGTGGTTGCCGCGGCCGGGGGGCCTCCCGCACCTGCCCGCCCGGCGGCCTGAAGCGCACACGCGGGTGGCGGCCGGCGCGGGGAGGGCGCGGCGCGCGTCGGGGCGCACCCGACGGACGCCGCACGCGCGCCGGGGCCGAGGCCGGGCTCGGGGTCCCGCTGCGCAGGGCCCGCCCGCTCTCCGCGGAGGAGGCCACGGCGGCGGCCACGGCGGCAGGTGCGGCGCCCACGCGCCCGCCCGGCCCAGGCCTCGGGCGGGGAGGTGGCCCCGGAGCTCTTCCCCAGGAGGCAGAGTGGCCGCCTGGGTCCCGTGCCAGGAAACCGACGGTCGCCGGGACTGCGATTTGCGCGGCCCCGCGGACACCGGAAGGGGCTGCCGCCTGCCCCGTTCGCGGCGCCGAGTGGCTCAAAGGTCCAGGAGACTGTCAAGGGGCGCGACTGCTCCGAGCCGGTCCTCGTCCCTGGACCTCGCGCTCCCTTCTCCCGGTGCTGCTGGAGGAGAACGGCCGCAGGCGAGGGGACGGAGGTGACCCATGCCCACTGAGCCCCATTTTCTAGGGTGTCCTCTGGTGGAAGCCGCGTGGGCCTGCGCCGCCCCGCAGGGAAGGGCCCTCGTGGTGCCAGGCTGGGAGGGAGGCGCCCAGGCTCACCTCCCGCGGCCCCTCCGCAGTCCGATTCCTGCAGCCGGGGGAGGGGGTCGCTGGGGCCGGGGGACCTCTGGCCTGGAGAAGCTGGGGCTGCCGGGCACCCGGTGACCGGGACCGGAGCTTGGGCGTGGGGGAGAAGAGAGTGTGACCCAGAGGGGGACGGCGTTGGTGGGGCCCACGGACAGCCCGGCCTCTGATGCCGACGTCCCGGACCCTAGAGCGGGGCTGGGAACCCTCCCTCCAGCCGACCCGGGGCGTCTCAGGCAGAGCCCAAAAGTCGTTCTTCCTGGCTCCCCCCCCCCCCCCCCCCCCCCCCCCCCGCCCCCGTGGTTCCCACCGCTGGGCCGGAGGTGGAGCCGAGGGTCCAGCGGGAGGAAAAGCTGTTGCTGCTCACTAGTCAGGTCTTAAGAAACCCAGAAGAAACAAGAATTTACAGAAAATTTTCAAAGAAAACATTAGAGCAGTAAACCCCCCTCTTTAGCATAGTGATTGGGGTTTAAAAACTTCATGATTATTTTATTTTCTTTCCTTTTGTGGAATTAAGAAAAGGAACAAAACTTCCAATCTCTGCCCACCAGGAGCTTTAAGAGAGAAAAAAACAACAACCGAGCCTGATATCTACTTAAAAGTGAGTTTGATCCAGGGTCCTGCTCTGGGTGTGGCCAGGGTGGGGTGGGCCTCAGCCCCTCCCCTCCTGGGGCCTGCTCCCCAAGGCTGAGCAACTTCAACCAGTGTGCTTCCCCCCAGTTCTGTCCTGGGGCTGGGCCCTGTGGACAGCCCACGACTAATTAGAGGCATCCTGTCAGTCTTGACTTGAAATTGAAAGAAAATAATGTTTAAATATTTATGACTTGGACAGACGCATACAGTCAGGCATCTTTTAGAAGCGGAACCCCTCCTTCCGGACGGGTCTGCGGCAGAGTGAGTCCAGCCACGAGCAGGGGTGGGTGCGGGCCCTGGGCTTCGAGGACACACACACACACACACACACACACACACACACAATGCTAAGTTTCACATGCAGGAAAAGTACGATATTTTAAAAATAATCAGGAATAACTAAATCGACTTTATATCAGGTTAGATGTATCTGGACAGTAAACTGTCAGTAAGCTGTCAACCGTTTATTTCCACCTGCAGCTCCTTGAATTTAGAATATAAAATATTGCAAACGCTGTGATTTGAAATGAATGTGGCCGCAGAGGCGACCTGCGGGATTGCTCTTAGACATCAGAATCTACAGACCTGTCCTGACCTACTTAGGCTATTTTGATCTGTGCTTGGGAGTAAAGGTGCATGGGGCTTCCTTTACATGGTCTTCTGAGCCATTTATGGTAAAATATCTTCAAAACTTTTTTTCTTTCGCTGTCCATGTGGTGAGCTTAAAAGAAAAGAAGAGGAAAAAAAAAAAAGAAAAAAAAAAGAACATTTTATGCCCAAACGCGGTTGTGAGAACTAAGGCAGCCACCCAAATACAAAACTTGACGCTAACAAGTATTTGTTGACAGGTAGCAACAAAATGGAACAGTTGAGTCGTTTTCCAAGACTGTGCAACGTATGCAGCTAATAATAGCGTCCGTTACCAGAGCCACTGACTTGGGTTTAAAATACACTTGTTCCCCAAACTCATGGGCACAGGCATTTGAATTTATTAATATGAAACTTCTGTTACGTGAATGTTTTCATCAGTATCATTCCTAAGGAATCTGTTTTGCAAACACTGCCTCATCGCGTCTCCCTCTGCACCTTTACATCACCGTAATTGTCTAGATCCCTTTCCCTGTAAAATTTAGAAATTGATTTTAGAGACGACTAATGAGTTGCTATAACAAATCTGTCTTTGGTTTCCCAGATGAATAATTCCAGAATGCTTTGGAAATTTCATGCTAGATTTACTAAAATGTATTTACTAAAATATATTAAGTATCACTTTAAAGCAGATAAAAAATTTTAATAGTTTTCAGGCTATGAGAATGGCCAAACTTAAAAATATGGGGGGGGATGTCTTAAAATATTTTAAAAGTATTTTTTAAAGCTGTTAACTGAACTATTTTTAATTTGGAATTTGCCACAGAATTCTCATAAATGAGAGAAGTCAGGCGGAAATAATCATGTATTAATTCTCTGCATTACAAAAT